AAAGGCGGGGAGATGGAGACTGCCGGCTGGTTGTTGTGGATCGACCCGGGGTCCCAATAAAAGAAGGAAACAATTGAGATCCAGCGCTTCCCAAAGACTTGCCCGAAGAACCAATGCCATTGGGAGGGGGTGGGGGTGTGGGTGGTGGGGGTGTGGGTGGTGGGGGTGGGGGATAGCACCCCGGAACATGGGACCAGATACAACACGTTAGTCTCTTATGTTCACAGCTGAACAGCGTCTCCACTTCCGCTTCCAAGAGCATGGACAGGCATGCCTCTCTGACCGATGCCCAGGCCGCAGGCAAGAGCAAAGGCCAGGCCCGAGAGAGCGATGGCCTCAAACTCAGGTACGCTGAGTGGACGTCGGAAAGTGAACCGCGGCTTTGAGGGTTCAAAGTGAACCCAAAGGGAAGTAACCCATTTGAGGGGTTCCTTTATTTTCAATCAGTCGCTTTTTTGGTCACAGACCCTTGCTTGGTCCAAGGTTGAGCCCAAGATGAGCCAAGGACCACCTCAAACAAGTGAGATCCTAGAAACCTCACAGCTGCCTTGAGCATCTGAAAGGCAAAGGAACTCCCGGCAAAAGGAGATCCTGACATCCACTGATCCAACAATCCTCTCAATGTGAGTTGGGCGCAGGACACAAATACCAATCTACTGTACGCTCCGGGCCACTGATGAGACGACTGTATCAGATTCAAAGGTATCGCTTGAGGAATGATTTGATTGAGTTCGAAGAAATGCCAGGAGCAACCGCCATAGACAGGTCCTCTCCCTGACGCGTCTGTGCCAATGCCTTAAGCTCTTGGTCCGTGGCGCCATGGGAGAACTACGGCTCCCTTCCATATGTCACAAAACGACAGCTGCAACACGTGGCCTTGACAACGGATGGGCTGACACCTCCGGAACTTGACCACTGGCCGAGAGAAAAACCTCCACATCACTTGGGTGTGTCTTTCTTTCATAGCCCTTGTGGAGAGATTTCAAGGCAAGAAGGAAACCACCCAGACAATTTCTGGGCCTCATTTCGACACTGTGTCTGAAAACAGGTGCACCTCCAAAATGGTTGGCTTCTTCTTGGTTTCCCGTTCAAACCGCGAAACCAAGAGGGGTGCGTCAAACAACAAGTCGACACCGCCATTTCTTGGTTGCATCTGCGTCTCCGTTCCGATGCCCTGTGACTTGGGCGCTTGGCAACGTCCGTGAGGCCTTCGACATCCATGCGGCGCAGGCCTCTCCGAATTGACAAAGACCTTGGATGTTAGGCTCGTCAACCCAGGGTGTTCCCACGACCCCGAAAACAAACAAGAAACATCATAATCTTCCAAAAAACAAAAAAAAAGGTGACTACTGGATTGCAAAGGCACTTCAAACTTCCAACTGGTGAGTGTTCGGAGGGACACTCCCAGGCTTGTCATATTGGTCCACTGCCCTCTGGCCAGTGAGCAAACTCCAAACACATGTGCAGTACTAAAAAGAAAAGATATATGAGCCAGCAAACAAGACGAGTTCCCCAAATCATAAGCCCGATGGAACAATTCGGCCACAGAGTTGCGGAATGGGGTGAGTTCCTAGACTAGCATACGTTTCGAGTGACCCTTTGAAAAGTAATAATGACTTGTCTAGCCAAGAAACGTTAAAATTTGGACCCCTCATTTTGAGATACAACTCACCAATACTAAGGGGTTTTGGAGACTTGAGGCCCATCATTGAGTTAGGCACTGATATAAAGTATGCCCCGTATGCAAACCACTTGCAGTCGGTAGTCAACCGCAACTGGCAACTCTGCCGGATCTGTTGCCGTTCAGGTTGACTTTGGGCTAAATTTTTTGAAGATGTTGAGCTAATTCGGCCGATTTGGGCCAAGATTCCTGGCTTGAGCGGACAAAGGGGCCCGAGCTGGTCAGCTGATCCCATTTCCGCGCCCGGAGAAGTCCAGAGTCTACCGGAAGGGACCCTCAAAGGCGAACGCGTCATGTCTGTCTTCAAAAGAGTCGGATGGTCAGCCGCCCCAAAAAGGCACCGATGCGAAACCCGGAGGAAACCCAAACCTCCCGCAGTCCGCGGCCCTTGCGGCGTTCCTAGAGGTTCCGCGAACCGTTCCCAGTTCTCCGGAAGAGTTAAACCGGGGCAATCCCAAAAAAGCTATGGCTGAACAAACGGCATGGAGTGTTACGCGGTGGTCCGGACTGGATTGGCACGGATCAGAGTTTTGGACTGCATCAGTCTGGATCGCTTGGCCCGGACCTCTGATCTTATTTAAGCCGTCGGTTCAACAAACCAGATGAGGGATATCCGGGCATCGCTGTTTTGTTTCCATCGTTCGAAACGTTGATTTCGTCAGCTCCTGCCTTCGATGTTGTCCTGAAAACCATTGCCTCGGCGAGTTTGCAATGGAAGAGCCTTTTTGGAGGATCTGACAAAAACACACACCTGCCTGAAAGAATGCTCTGCAAATAGTCAAACGTTCACACACACACACACACCCGGCAAACAAAAAAAAGAACACACGGGGGCGTGGGACGGTTTCATCGGGCTGTTTGGGCCCAACTCTGAAAGTCCCGCCACACGGGAAAGGAGAGGCTGGGGGTTCAGGAATTGGTGTTGCCTACAATGCGCAATGCGATTTGGAATCCTAGACATGTTTTTTTGTTTTGTTTTACATGTCCTTTTAGTTTTCTTTAATTATGTTGGGACACAGCCCATGTCGCTCAACACCCAAAGACACTTTCCACGACTGTTGCCTCTGAGACCGCTCAGAGAAAGGAGGCAGTTTCACGTGGTCGCAATCTTCGGCCCGCCCAGCTGCACCGAGCCGCGTCTCAATCAGACCATCCACGAAGACTGGGTTGCTCTTGAATCCAAAAAAATCTTAATGCAGAAGGTAAGTTAAAGGGCATGGCATTAGCAAATGGGCAACAATACCAGGGAAGAGCATAGTGTCCCTTTGGGGTTCAGGCTTCCAACTGTAAGCCGCACCTGCCACGTAGATTTCAGCGCCGACCGTTGCGTGTCATGTTGAAGCTCTTTCATGATCTTCGGCCCCCGGATTCTGGGTTGCAGGAAGGAACAACAAGGCAAGCCCGCAGCGCCGCTCCCACATCCAGAAACAACGCCTTTCGTGCGCAAAAAAGCAATGGCAGGGCCAGTTGCAAGTTCTGCTCGTGTTGCCCTTGAGCGATTGGGAAAGACATTGCGCGGACAGCAGGAAATCCAAGGATCAAACAAATTCCGATGGGCAACGGAGGATTAAAAGGGGCAGTGCCTTCCCACTCCAGGCCCGAGGCTAACATTTAGCGCAATAAATGAGAGGATTCACCACTTGCCATGGACCCTGTAATAAAAAAAAGTAATCAATTGCGGCATGTTCAAAGAGCTTGGTGGTAGGTTTCAACTAATGGCATGGGCCCGACGGGTTTCAAATCTCTGGAATGGGCAGGGTTTCGCGCAAACCCTTGCTCGATCATTTCAAGACGAATTTCCAGAAACTGACAGCAACAAATGTTAACGCCGGACTCCTTCCATACTCACTGAACGGGCTGTTTTCGCCAAGAGTCAAGGAGTTTTCTCAATCAACCACAGATTCATCAATCCCTAACTTTCTCACTTGCTGAGTGGATGGGCCAAACAAAGTCCAAACTCGTCATTTGCCGCCAAAATGGTCCAAGCTCTTTATTTGCCGCCAAACTCTGTATTTTCCGCCAAAAAATATAAAGTCCAGGAACTCAGGAAGTAAGCTTTGCTTCGAAACTCCAAACAGAGGCTGCACCCCCCAGGCCCAGCGATTCCCATCAGGCCTCCCATGGCGAGGGACACAAAGTTGGCCACCAGGAAGCCTTGATCCGGAAATGGGTTGACACAAACGCCAGGCTTTTCGCTTTGGGATATGGCTGTGGCTCAAAAAAGCGGTAAAATGGCACCTTAACTGGAACCCAAGACTAAAACCGAAGAAAACCCTAGCTCTTGAATTTCGAGCCACAGCCATATCTACCCTCCCCTTTCAACATGGGACCTGACGTTCAGTGGATTCAGGGTCCCTGTAAACGCAATGATCTTCCAGGATCCGCGTGTCAGGTTCCACGTTCATTGGCGGGAGTGTATCTCCACCTCACCCCTGCAAATCTGCGAAATTGCCCAAGTATTGGAACAGCTAGTTACAAGTAGTGCTACACTGAATATTGCAACACCGGGTGTCCCTTTGGCGTCCATTTGAAGCCACCTCAAGCAGGGCGACGCACCCGTATTAACATGAAACTCACCATCTGGAGGGGACCACAGTTGTGACACATGCCCATGTCCAGTTTGTGAGAAATAATTTCTGCAGATTCCTGGGAATTCACTTGAAAAGCGACCATCAACTTCTTGAGTGAGCAAAACTCCTGTGGGCCTTAGTCATGGTTCCCTTTGTCAGAACCCTTTGAAACCCTGGCAAATTGTCTATGATCAGCCCCACGACTGACCCAGATTCAACAGCCTGGTGGATGGGCTAAAGGATCCTTTGGTCATTTCTATTAAAAAAAAAACAACAACCTTTGATAAACCAAGCCAATTGATTATTCAATGAAGCCCAGCACTGCGATTTTGATAAAAGGGTGTCTTTTTTGGGGGGGGACCCCCAGTACCAGCTTCCTAATTGGTGGTTTGGATTTGAGGGTAAATGGGAAGCCACCCCTTAACCACCACACCACCAATCCAAACCGAAGCTGAGTATACCTTAACTCCAAATAAACAACTCCCAGCCACCCAAACCGAACGCCAAGCGCGGAGCGCGCTTTGCGCCCGCTTGGCGCCGCGCCGATCAAGGTGGCCCGCAGCAGCGGGACAGCCCTGCCCCCGCCCTCCGAGACCAGCGCCGCAGGCATGGCTGGCAGCGGTGGGGAACCCATCGGAGCCCGGACCGGGGGAGGACACGGCTCGGATGGGAAGTCAGGGATTGGCGTTTCTTGGAGAACACTGGCCCTGAAGGGGAAACCAAAAGGAAAACCAGAATTGTTTTGGGTACATGGTCCCTTTTTGTGTGGGGATCTTCTTTTGATTGGGTCTAAGGGGAAAAACAAAGAAACCCACATTCTTGGGGTCCGCTACAAAAAGACAGACACCAAGAATAAAAGGGGAACACGCGAGTGGAAGCCGGGAAAAGTATTGGCTGTTCTCACAAACGTTCTACAAGAAGCGCTACTAAATGAGGGAGGGGGTCCACTGATTGGCACGATCCTCCTCATCCTCAGCAGGAATTCCATGTTGTTTCTGTGCCAAAATGCGGGCTCTAACGGATTGAACAACAAATCCCATAAACCATCAGATCTGGGATTTAGTAGCTCAGCACAAAATAAGGGCTCCCCCGAGACATCATCCCCCCCGGAGGTCGCTGTAATTAACTTTGCGCCCAGAACATTTGTGCCATGGTCCGTGTTCCCAAAATGCGGCCTACGGCCTTAGGCCTTGGTTCCCAGAACAGGAACCCCGAGAACGGAACTCTGAATCGCGAAAGGGTGATGACTATCCATACCACTACTCTCCCGAGCCAAAGGTTCTTCTGACCATGGCACGCCTACAAAGTTCCACGGCGCACCAAAAAACAACCAAAAAAAGAGCAGCACAGCACTTGCCCGCATCGCAACACCCAAAACAGATTCCTCCCACAACTCGCTCGCCCGGATGTGCCAGGTATTCCGCTCGCCTACGCCAAGTACACGGGCGACCTGCCCGGTAGAGCTGGGTCGCACCTCTGGTGCAAGGGACACGGTGGCTCGGCCTCTTTTGTGGTGCTGGGTGCGGAACCCTAAGGGAAGATCAATCGAGCAAAGGGCATGCCCTTGTGTCAGAATAAACCCCTCCTGCAAGACTCAAAGATGGATATAGCTTCGGCGGATGTAATTAAGGCTGAGGATTGGCCTTTGCGTCCTTCAGAGAATCAAAGTCTTCCCCCAACAATGTAAAACTGCTCTTCAGCGTTGGTTGACTTTGGCTCCAATCAATGAAGGTTGGAACAAAAAGACATAATCTATAGCATTTGGCCATCATCCCCGGCCATCCAAGTGGTCTTCCATCAGCGTGAAAAAAAGGAGTGCACAAAGGAGGATTCAGCCAATAGCATGCGTGCAGGCCGCCCGTCTTAAAGTAGATGAATCGCACAAAGGGCAAGAACCTCTGATTGTCTGGACAGTCGATTGATTCCCAAGTGGACGTGACCATGTTGTCTGTCTGCTGGTATCAAGTGGTAAACCTTTCCTTGGCCTTTTGCCTCAGAACAACTTGTCATCCAGAAAGTCAGCAATACTTTGGACCCAACAAAATCAGAAACCAGAAAGACATTTCTTGATCAGGGCGGAGGTCTCCATCCCGGAGCAGTAATGCAAGTCGATTGGATTCCAATTGGATATCAGCAAGCGCCGAAACCCGGCTTCTGAGTCCGGCTGTTGGCCGCTCCAAAAAACACATCCTCATGTTTGGTGTGGTTTCTTGTTCGGAGACTTACCAAGTCCATGTGTGTGTGTCAGAATAGAAAGCTTCTTTTTGGATGGCACCAGCCACCCGGAGGGCGGCCTGGCTCTGAAAGGGGGAAGCACCCACTTGCGACGCAAAAGTTTTGAGTCACCTGCGACTTCATCTCATTTGACTCCCTCGCGCCTTAACCCTGACTCACTTGCGACTACGCACTTTCCAGAAGTGTGCTCGCGCGCAGGTTTCGCGCATCCACCTGACTCACTTGCGACGACCTTCGCGCCACGCGACCATTAGAGGGAGGTTTTTGAAGTGATGACATGCACGTTGCCATCATTTTGCCCGCCACATCACGTGCTCACTTTCGAACGATTCGCCCGACAGTCTCTTTCTTCCTTGGGGGGGCGGGCATGCACACCCGCTCAACTGAGCCCGTGCTGCCTGCTCCTTTAACCAGGCTTTTGGGTTTGGCTTTACGGTTTAGGCTTTTGGGTTTGGCTTACATCACTCTAGGTTTTAGGGTTTTGGGTTTAGGGTTTAGGCTGTTGGGTTTGCTTTAGGATCTGGGCTTTTGGGCTTGGCTCGCATCACTGTAGGTTTTAGGGTCCTGGGTTTGCGCTTAGGGTTTAGGCTTTTTAGGGTTTGGCTTACATCACTTTAGGTTTTTGGGTTTTAGGTTTAGGGTTTGGGCTTAGGGCTTAGGGCTTAGGGTTTAGGGTTTAGGGTTTAGGGCTTGCTCGGAAGCGGGCCAAAACTTTAAGCAGATCAGGACAAGTTGTTGCCAAGTTCATGCAGAACACATCAGCGATGGCTGTCCTACATACTTCGAGCAGTTAAAATGAAATGAACATGCAACCACCGAACAGTCATTGTGTTTCCACCACACAAGAAATGGCACTCACTTGCGACAAAGTTAACAACCGACGCCTTTACCCCAAAACCACACCTAGGGTCGTTCCGCCCCTCCTCCCCATCCACAAAACGCTGCAATTTGCGATGTTTTACGTGACCAATTATGTGCCGTCACAAGCGAGATAGTCCAGTCACTGGCGAGAAAAGAATAACGTCACAAGCGAGAAAAAACTGACGTCACAAGCGAGGTACCGCCCCTCTGAAAGCATTCACTGGGGCCAGGCATCATGTGAGTCATAATCAAAACCTGGTACAAAAATGGTGAACCCAGAACCATGTAAGGAACTGAAAAGGCGGCCGCAACTATTTCCGGCCGGCACTGCCCCTTACTGGCCTTCATCTACCCGGGTTTTGATTGTGACTCATGTGATCCTATTGCAGTTGCACAAGGTGCAGTCATGAATCCGCCTGAAAATATGGAAGTTCCAGATGTGCATGCCAGTGGCTGCGTTTAGAAACCTGCCACGGAGACAAAGGAATGCCATTCTTTGTTTGATAAGTTTCATTCACTTGCAAGGACCTGGAAATAAAAAGGTTCACCTTTCGCGACCTTGTCAAAAGGTCAGTTTGCACGGAGCTTTTCCGGAAGACCCAGACCAAGAGCACAACGAATTTATTTTTTTCGCTGGTCTTCTGCCACGCAGACGCCCCCTCCAAAATCCGGGCGCCCGGCGAATCCCCCGACAGCTCTGGTGAAGGCAGCAGCCCCGGCAGTCTGAGCCGAACCAAAAGCCGATTCAGATGTAGACAGTCTATTGGGGTTGATCAATCTTCCCTTCGGCCCCAAATGACCAGGACCATGGGCAACTTCCCCATGTATTTGCAAATACCTTCATTTTAGTGGTTTTACTTAATGGTCAAACCCCATATGTGTGCACTTATATTACATGCAAAGCCTGAAACCCGCTTTTTTCCATGGATATCCGTCTAGTCTATCCCTCTGTATCGCTTTCTGAGTCGATTGGCCAGAAAAAAGTCCGAATTCTGCTTACAACTGCCTTGGTCCTTCTCTCAAGGTTTATAGTCCAGGAACTCAGAAAGTGTGAAAAGTTGTCGCAATACACTCGAGCATGCCTCTCACAAGTCGCACTTTCCGTCGCCCCTTCTGCTGAGCGGCGCCGAAGTGGAAAACACAGCAACTCGGGCGTGGACTAGGAAACACCCTGGCCGGCTTTACCAAAAACCTAAGAGAGGTGAAACAAGATTCGTAGGGGTCTGAAAATAGTTGCCATATGCTTCTTCTGGGAAGCTGGTGTAATCTAGCACCCACTGTATGAGGGGTCACTCAAATTGGGAGAGTCGCCGCCTTCCTGAGTCTGCAATTTGCACCTGTGGTTCTGTATAATGAAACATGTTGAATTTTAAACCACGTTCACATTTCAAACAATCGTGCCAACTAGAAAACCAACAATTGTGAGTGAAATGGCAACACGAAACACACACTTCCAATAACAGTGGATGACGCCTATCTCAGAGAACGCCTAAACCACAGTTTGGTCCCCTGAAAACCTCGTCTCTTTCTTTTGCTTAGAAACCGCACATGTGAGCAAATGTGAGCGCTGTGGGGAAACGCTGCAATGGGGCAGGGCCGTTTTCCCTTCTCAGGCCTTGAAAAAATGCATTCTTCTAATCAGATGAGATGGACCCGTCTCAAAATGGGGGGTCCCCGTTTTTGGGCTGGCTTCAAAGGGAAACCAAAAGGAAGCTAACCACCCGGACGGGTCCCTGACGTGGCGAAACACGTCAATCCAAAAAAAAACACGCGCCCTTGACTCAGGCCGGACTGCAACAGTACAAAGGAACGATCAACTGACCACCAAGCTGCGCCCCTGAACACATGAAGCCAACCGTGATCCCCTTAGAGTTTCATGCAAGAAACCATTGCATTACCCTCCCACCAACTAACATGGAAGTGCAAAAAGACCCTTTACAAGAGGAAAGTAGTCTTTCTACAGGGGTGGGAGGGTATCACAGGGTCCTCGGCTCCTTTAGGTCCTTGTCAGACTTGACTTCCAAACCCGGAACGCGTTAGGGGCCCCGGCCAGCTGCTGAAAGGGCTGAAGGAAACCCTTTCGGATCTGCTTGGAGAAGCCTGCGACGAAGATCTTGACTCAAATCCAAACGAATCAACTGGGACGGGCCTGGCGAGGTTGCGATTTGCCAAACGGCATGGGCATTGCAAAATGGAGCCTCTTAGGGCCCCAGTTCAAAGAATGGCCAGCATTACATCAAGTTCCCCCAAAAGCGCCTAATCCCAACAACTCCTTCCCGCCCGAACATCCGTTCCTATCAATCAATCCTGAAACCACCAAACATTTGAGGGTGTCCCAGCATGGGAAGGCCAAAAAAGTCAGCCATCTGTGAAATGTGTGTGATCCAATCCCATCTTGGGAAACACCCGAACTTGGTCAGTTACTCATCTTACTCAAGTACACGACAAGCCCCGTGAAGAAAGGGTCTCTTTTGTCCCAATGACTTGTGCTTCAGAACCTGAGATTGTCATAGACATGTAGACAAAATAAATGAGCCATAAGCCACAATAAACAACATATGAATAAACATATGCATATATAATACACACAAAACAAACACATGTATCAACAAACACACAAATAAAGACAATAAGCAAGTGAATCAACACACAT